ACAAACTTGCAGCAACAAGAAGCAGCAGCAATTCACATAATTGTAAATGCACAAAATAAAAATCAGAAAATATAGAGTTCAATATAATATAATCTTTAAATTTCATAAAGACTCATTTTGTTACCTCTGGACCAACACACGAAAAATAAAAGATACAAGAAATTAGATGAACGGAAAAATAGAAAAGGACAGAGTCACCAAATCATGCATGAATTAAAAGAAAAGAGAAGGGGAGAGAAAAGATTGTGACTCACGGCCATTGTGAGCAGTGTAATTATGAGAGACCTCAGGAGGTGACAATTGAAAAAAGGTTGAAGAGAAGAAGCGATAAGCAAGACCCGATAACAGAAAGCACACTGCAATCTTCACCCACAGTATTGAAAGTTTTTTGCTCGGAAAATGGCTACTGAATATCTTCATCATCCTTTCTTTTTCACTCACTTTTCTAGTTAAAAGGTGATATGGAGAGGAAGAGGAGAGCTGTAACAAAAGCTTGAGTTTGTTGTAAAGAAAATATATAAATTTAGAGAGAGAGAGAGAGAAGTGTATGGAGAAATGCAAGAATAATAAGAAAATAAAGGTGGTGGATTTTCGGTTGTGCAAAATTGTATTGTAGCCTCGCCTCAACTGCCTATTTATTGCTTTATTAGGGCATCTGCAACGGAGCATTCATTTGCCCCGTTTAAAGGACACGTTGGCATTAAAAGGGATGCGAGCATCCATTATATAGTGGGCCACACTTTTTGCGTTCAATGGGCTGAACGCGTTCATCCCTTCTTCTTTTTTTTTTTTTTCTTTTTTTTGTTTTAAATTAATTGTTTATATAGTCCTTCTTTTGTTATTTTTTGTTTTAAATTAATTATTTAATCATATTATTTTTTTTGTCACTAACTAAAAAAATTATTTTTTGTAATTGTACTATTTTTTCTTATGTAATCTTAATTTAAGGTATTTTAGTCTTGTAGTGTTCTTTTATTTTCATGCATTTAAAATTTATTATTATAATTTTAAAATATTAAATTTTTATTTTTATTGAGAATAGAATATTAAAATTTATATTGAATGAATTGATATAATGGATCTCATATTCGTATTTAAATGAATGTGTGTAGGGATGTGGGTGTGTTTTTAAATAGAGAGAGAATTAGTGAAAATATGATGTGAAAATGATGTGGATGAGAGAGAGTGTAACTTTTTGATTGAATGAATGGAAAAAAAAATTAATGAATATGGATGCCTTTAAATAAATTATAGGTCCCTACGTATGTGTGATGTCACATTTTTGACTGACTTTGAAATGTTTTTGAGGTCGGAGAATATTCACTTTTGTTTTGAACCAACATCGTACTACACAAAATTTAGTACAAATCATCATTATTATTATTCATTCCCAGCATGTCCAATAATAGAAGAAGCTGGGAGTGTGTTGAGCAGATTATTTCGACCATCACAATGTAAAAGGAACTGTCTTTAATATCTTAAAATCCGATTCTCAATCATCAATTCACAACCGGCTGTGAACACATTTTACTGATAGGTCCCTAAACTTGTGCCAATCGACAAAATTGGTCCCTGCAATTAGATGAAATTACAAATAGCCACATGCATACAATGTACTGAGCAACACAGCACATACCAACTACAAGAATGAGTCAAAGTCCAATCTCATAGGCAATTTAAGGAGGAAATCACAAAAACATTAGAATCTCTTGTTTTACAAAAATTATACATTTGCGGCCAGGCCAATCCTAGCCAAAAATAAATATCAAACAATTACTCATTAATTATCTGTTCTTTCATCCAAGCCCTACCTTNGAAATAACAATAAACTAATTTTTACATGCCCAAGATGCACAATTTATAAATGAACCAATCAATCAAACACGTAAAAAAAGACAAAAACCTTAAAAGTTGTAATGGTCATGTACAGTTGCAAAGTCTTTCTTCCAAAGTTTCAGAATGAAATAAAAGGAACTGGAGATAGTTGTTGTAGCCTTCAAGTCCTGAGGATACCATAAGGTCATGCAACTGCCTTTGGGGGTTTCATGCCGAACCCGTGCTTCATCCTCTCCACACTGTCGTAAATTTCATTTTCAGTGAAGATGGAATTTAAGCAAGAATGTAGTAAAAGAAGCATAGAACTTCAAACTAGAGGAGAAAACAAGAAAAAGCTCAATGTTTAGTTTGGGTAAAAAAAATGTTCTTTATTAGAAGATGCTGTATATCGTAGGAAAATCATAATTAAGAATCAAAATTTGAGGTGAATACATATGGAGAAGTCTATAGTATCCTTCCCACTGCTTTTAAATTTTCCAACAAATTCTGTAGAATTTAATTGGAGTTGTCATTTGAAGTCTATAGCAGCCGGCAGCCTTTTTTCTCTCTTTTCACCAAGCAAGAGCTAATAAATCATATATTTGTTTTTCAAGTGTTCCCAACTAATCCCATAGTGTGACAGACAACATCCAAAAGTTCCCATGCTTTAATTTTNACCAAAAAAAAAAAAAAAAAATCGTGTTCTAATTTATCCGACGACCTTGCCAAATGACATATGTCAACAAAAACAAACAGAAATAAATTTAGAAGAGTCTATGTGTTTACATCTGTAAACGAAACTAACCCATTATGCAGCAGTTACGAAAGCATGGTAATAAAGGTGAATTAGAGTTTATCCAAAAGAACAGGAACTTACGATGGAGCAAGTTTGCCAAGGCTTTCGAGCTCTTCGCCAGTATAATCATCCAAGACCCTGCCAGAAATCTCGATGATGTATGATCGCTCTCTTTCTTTTGGAAGGCCTCTGTTCACAAGTAAATTCAAATCTTTCTGGTTAAGTTCTCTACCGTTTACAAACACATTTGTGTTTCCACCAGCACAATGTTCTGGCATAGGGTGGTTGAATTCTTCAATAAATGGCTGCATTTAAGAAAGAAAAAGAAAGAGAGTTGTTAAAATGGACAAAGGTCAAAATTGGTTGGGGGCAAAAGAAAAGGCAAAGCTTACAGGAATTATGCCAAGACAAGGACCTCCCATGACACCCCAAAATCCGGCTCGAAAGTCATACCTAGTCGAGGAAGGTTAAAATTATTAAAATGGAAGCATTAGCAGTTTATTTGACTTGTAAAAGTGAGGATGTCTATGGTAATTTGATTAGTTATTATAAACAGGAACTCCAATAATTGTTTTAGCCTCAGAAGGTAATATTGTTTTATTTGCTAAATATTTTGTGTTTTTAAAGTGTTATTCTACTTGTATTTTTCAAGATTTGTTATTCTAATTAGGGGTACAGTCATGTGACCGTTCCACCAGTAATGTTATCAGTATCAATAAACAAGCAGAAAAAGAAAGGAGCAAGAAGAATAACTCTGTTTCTCTCTGTCTCATAATGCATTTATCCTTACTGTATATATCTCACACTTGTGAATCATAAGAGTTTCAGAAAATAAATAATGAAACCTATTAATAGCATTTAAAATGAGTAAATAAACTATACAACACAACAGTGAGTGGTTCCTCAGAGATTGATAAAGATCAGCAGTCATAATTTGGCCAAAGAAATAACCCGAAAGCGAATAAGAGCAAAGGTAATAAGTAGCAAACACAATATTCGGAGAACGAACAAAACAATCAAATACAACCATCGTATCGAAGAAAATTAGGCAAGATTTCAAACACATTTATCTAAGAAACTGATCTCGTAAATCAAGATGGAGTTAATATTAGAAACCCGTTCTGTACCATCATTTTCGAGCATGATTGACTAAAACACTGGCTAACTCCCATTGTGAAAACATTCATACCGAATTTTTTCTCTTTAAATAAAAAGTAAATGTAAATCATAATTTGGTGAATTAAGCATGTGGCCCTACACACATCATAAGAAATCTAACCTCAACACCAATTTTCACCAGCACATTTTATAGTCACCAATCACAATGTAAGATTTAGATCTTCTAGCAAGTATCAAACCAATACAAACATTCATTTAGAGAACACATACCAGTAGTTCCCAGGGTATACAGGCCCAGCTAGTTTTTCAGCCTTCTTAATCAGCCGAGCAGGTATCAAATGCCCGTTAACAATAACATTTGCCTTTTCCTGCTCAAAATCTTCATTCGACCTGTTGGAATCACTAACCCCTATGCCAGCTAATAACATCTTGGCTGTATTACTCCCTCTCAAATGATCTCCTTCATTACTTGCTTCACCCGAATCAAAAGTTGTCCCTGTATTTGAGTACTCGTTGGATGACAACTCAATTTCAGTTGCCGATGACTCTTTCCTCGAAATCTGCTCTTCTAAAACCACTTTGTCTGTTTCAAGAAATCTGCTTTTGCTTTCCTCCCCAAAACGCCTGCCCCTATGAAACTTATTCGAATACTCAAAATGGTCCTGAAGAGACAAGCCTACACGAGGCAGGGGCCCATTTTCGTCTTTTGACACGGAACTCCCATCGTAACTTGAATTTTCGTAATCATTCGACAAGAAAGTCGTCTCTACCGACTTTTCAACTTTTACGTTATTATTACAACTATCCTCAGGCTCAACCATGGACGAAAAAACTAACTTATTGTTGGCAACTGTAAAAACAACAACTGCAGAGCATGATCCACATGTCACTTTCTGCTTTCTGCCGTTATTACCATCCACACGGACATTCTTAGGAAAAAGCAATAGCTCGAAACAATTGCTGCATGTGAAAAACGGAGCACCCCAGCCTATCGGGCGGCAAATTCTCCCGCCTGATGCCAAATTCTCCCACCTAACGTGCGTTTGAACACTAGAAGAATTTAATCTGCCAGCATTAGGAAAGTTGGAGTATTGATCACTATATGAGCAAGATGGGTGGTGAGGGCTGAAATTAGGAAGGTATGGCCATGACTTATACATATTATATGGCGGTGGTGCGTGGTAAGGCACAGGAGCTACGTGATAAAAGCCTCCACTGCCCGATTCTTGCCTTTGCATCAGGTGAGGTGGCATGGAACACTGGTTTGGGTAATGCAGCCCTTTATAAGTTTTCTGATCGTGATAAGTGTTATGCATTGGGATCTGATTCATATGAAGCCGGATTTTCTCTTTGCCCTTGTTGACCAAATTGCCGGATTTGGTTAGACGATCTTTTAGCTCGTCTAACTGTTTCAAGAGCTCGTCCATGTCATAGCCCTCGATTTCTTGTTTATCTCCATTTCGTTCATGTAGCAGCCTCTGCACATTTTCATTATGATATATCTCCAAGTCCTCGAAATCTTGAGAGCCTTTTACTCGGTGGAGATTGTGTGATCTTTTTACGTCTTGGATTAGTTCGCCCTCAAGAATATCCAAGTTTTTTTTCCCATCTTTTCTTGGCACTATAGTTCTTCTACTTTCGCCTCGGTTATGAAAAATCGTTCTCCTCTCGGCTCGGCTTGAGGAACTAATGGCTGACCTGACGTCACTTTCCGAACTGTCGCTTGTTTCCATCATTTTCTCCGAATTTTTCTTCACCTTTTCATGTCTATCAGAAAGTTTACACTCTTTGGGACCTTCATTTCTTTGCTCATCAGGTTTTTCTGAGAATGCATCCAAGTCAACGCCCTTGTTCTTGGCTGGTAAGTCAATCATTCAGAAATAAACAAATGTGACCAAAGAAGTCGAAAAATGAAGGGAATGAATATTCAATTGAGTTTATATTGTCTCAAGCATTGACCTAAAAGTAAATTAATTTATCTTATTAAAGATGTTTTTTTTTTTAAAAAAAAGAATACCATATTAAGAGACATTCAATTTGTGACAAAACAAGCAAATTAAGGATGATATAGAAAAGAAATAAACATCCTACGAAAAAATTAAGCTCAAACACAGATATTAATCATCCCCAAACTTTATAATTTCCTCAACACATCATAAACAAGGAGATAAAAAGTACAAAATTGAAACAAAAATGATAAAAAGATGGCACCTTCTAGCACAGCACCACAACCACCACAGAGGTAAACAGAGTAATCGGTGACCTCCGGCAGCAAATTCTCACATTTCGGACAACGAACTAAACGAACATTTGATGTTTCGGACATTTTCTTTCTTTGTTTTTCTTCAGGCTATCTTGAGCAAGCCCTCAATCATATTACACGTGCATATGCAGGTAAAAGCCAACATTTTTCGTGTTATTCGATGACGTTTTTTGCAAGAGAAGAGGGGGTTTTGAGAAATTTCAACAAAGAAATTCTCAAAACCCGAACACACAACAAACAAACATAATCAAAAGAACAAAATTATGCTCAAAGATGCTATATTTAAGAGAAAAGGTNGATGCCTAGACTAGGGGAAACTATACCCCCATATTCTCGTGCTCAAGCCACTCCCCAGCACTAAGGGGAGGAGAATTGAGGCGGTGCAAACCGACCGGGAAGGAAGCCGCCATTCTCGCCAGATGATCCACCGTAAAATTTGTCTCCCTATGCACATGCTGGAGATGAACAACCATTCTCTCTGAATTAAGTCTCGAATGGCCCTCACCATGGCCTCATGCTGCCCAACCGGTCCTCCGCTCTATTAACCATATTAACGACGCACTGGCTATCTATCTCTACCATAACTCGCCGAAACCTGAGTTCCCATGCCAAGAATAGGCCCTGAAAGAGCCCCCATAGTTCGGCCCCTGTAATGGTACAAAGACCAATATTCATAATAAATCCCTCAATCCATCGGCCCATGTTATCACGGAGGAAGCTGCCTGCACTACTTACCCCTGTAAATGTATTGTGGGCACCATCTGTATTGACCTTGATCCAGCCCGATTCCAGAGGTGACCAGCGTATCCGGTGAGTAACGTATCGTGCAACCCCAACCTTCATTAAAGCTGCCTCGGCCCTTATATAATTTTCTGATAAATGAACAACCTCCATCATCTTAGCCACGCTACTTGGAGCCTTATTTTGAAAAATTCGTTTGTTCCGCCACACCCACATAAGCCACACGGTCACCGCGAAGAGGCTGCCCCAATTTCCAGAGCTCCCCAGCTGGATCTTCACCAAATAAGTCCGCAGCCAGGTTATAAGTAGTGGCTGGAAAAATTCGGCCGCGGCTTCTGCCGGAATCAGGCGCCGCCGCACCTCCTGTGTAGATGGACAGTCCCGCAAGAACATGAAGCACCGCATAAATCGCACGCATCGACCATCGGAATATGGCGTCGACTATGCTCTGAGTTGGTCAACAACCGGTCATTTGGCGTAAGCCATAATAGCATGCGGGCCTTTTGCGGTGCATTGGTCCGCCAAATTAGTCGCCATAAATGGGGGGTCTCGACCACTTGCTTGCGTCGATATCGCCTGATATGCCGTCTTTGTCGAGAACCTGCCATCTTCGGAGAATCCCCATATAATGCGGTCCTCACCATTTGTCACTTTCGGAGGTTATATACCTGCTATGTGTAGAATGACTGAAGAGGGTAATACACCATGGAACCGATCCCATCTCCAGTTCTCGTGGTTATCTACGAGCTCAGCAATCGGCGATAAAAGATTCTCGATTCGTGACGAAACGAATCAACGACCCATCCTTACCAAGCCATGGGTCCAACCAAAACCGATCCGTCTCACCATTTCTCAATTTCCACCGAACCCCACACACCACTTGGGGCCGGACCGTATGGATCACACGTAGTAGTGTCGAGCCTTGGCGCCAACTCAAAGACTCCAGGGGTCCCGACAAATCTAATGCGTATTTAGCTTTCAACACTCGCACCCAGAGGGCATCCGGCTTGGTCAATAAGACCCACCCCAGCTTCATCAACAATGCCCTATTCATCTGGTGGATATCCCTCAATCCCAATCCCCTTTCATTTTTCGGTTTGCAGACGTCCTTCCATGCTACCAAATGTACTTTCTTCCGGTCACTATTCCCTCTGTTTATTTTGTTTTTGTGCTTATTTTCGTGTGTTTTATGTGTTTTAGTTTGGCCTTTTTAGGTTCGTTTTAGTGTTAACCGGTCTATTTTGTCGTGTTTCGTGTATTTTTCTTGTTTTTCTTTTTATTCTATTTTTGGCGTATTTCTCCGTGCTTTTGGGTGTATTTCAGGTTTATTCCGTGGATGAAGAGAAGGGTCGAACTGAATTCTGAGATACGAGCATTTTCGAAAGAATTCGAAGAAGTGTCGAACCAATCGCACGAGCCGTCCCCGTGTCCGCGCCTTGCGAAGTCCTTCGCGACCTCGAGAGTAGTCCTCCCAGCGCCATCTGCGACCCGCGCCTCGCGCCGACCTCGTGTCGCGCCGCGCGAACTCGCCCGCCAGGTCGAGAGTATCATTGCCCAGCACCGTCCGCGAGCGCGATTCTTGCCGTCAGCTCGAGAGTGTCCGTGCCCTCACGTCCGCGCGCGCGAGCTTCCCCGCCAGGTCGCGAGTGTCCCGCTTTTCTGCCGTCCGCGCGCGCGAGTTTCTCCGCCAGCTCGAGAGTAGTGGATTTCTCCCGCGCCACTCCGTGCCATGCCCGCGCTACCTCGTGACTTGCCCGTGCCAGCCCAAGCACGCGACCTGCGGAATTCCCGGCGAGCTCGAGAGTACCTGTTAGTAAATGTGCGTGAAACCAGTGTGTGTTTTGAGCTGCACTATAAATATATTTTGGTCCTTTGTATTTGGGACATCTAGATTTCATTTTTCACTTTCCCACTTTGGGAATAGCTATTTTCTTTTTAGTTTTCTCTCTTCTCTCTCTTGGGAGCTCTATGACTTCATTTTCCGGAGAATTTTCCAGCGACTCTTATTTTGTTCAAGTTCCGAGCTTTTGACTCCGATTTTCGCCTAGCACGCAATAGAAGATTGGGTATTTACTTTTAAAGCTCATTACTTCGAATTTTGCCCCGTTTTTACTTATGATGTTTATCAAGGTGATTTTGGGTGTTTGCTTGATGATGGAGGGAATGTTTGGACTTGGTCATTGCTCTTGCTTGTTTTAGTAGGGATTAATTACTTGCCTATCTAGATTAAGGGTTAAGACTCTATTTAGAGCTTAATCACTTAGGTTAGAAGGTTAGAATTAGTGACCTAGTGCTTAGAACTTGCAAATTGTTCGTCATTGAGTTCGTTTGGTGTCGATAGCATAGAGACTCCGGTAGTGTTAATTGCGTTATTCTCTCGTTGATTGTCGTTTTTACTTCCTCGTGCAATCAGTGTTAATCCATCTTCAATCCGAATTAATTAGCATGTTTAGCTTTTATTTTCCCATTTCGTGTGATTTGGACAATTGAGTAGTGAACGAAGCTCCGAAACGTCTTCCTTTGAGAATGACTCGAGGTCGGGTAGCTCGGTTACCAACTACCTACAAAAATACTACAAACAAAATGGCGCCGTTGCCGGGGAAGGCAACGTAGGACGCCTAGTTTATTACTTGATTGTCCCTTTTTCTCGTGTTCCTCTTGATTTTTGTGAACATTGCTTAATTTCCGTATTTCTCTCGATTTCTCTTGCTTTTGTAGATAGTTTGTGTTTCTTTATTGTGTTTTGCTCTTGTTTCCCATTGGTGCATTCACGGGTATAGTTGTTGGTTGTGTTTATGCTAGGTAGACGGAAAAAAGCAACCCGAGAGGAGACTCCACCGTTAAATCTCTTCGTTGAGCTCAACATAGACGAACCACAACCGGAACCCGAGCCCGAAACCGAACCAATGGCGGGACAAGGAGACTAATTGCCACAACCACCCCAAAACATGAGGTACTTTGTACGACCAATCATTGGAGACAACACTTCGTGCCTTGTGCTTGCGGAGGCGGCCCGAAACTATGACCTCAAGACGATCCACCTAAACCAACTTCCCTCGTTCTATGGCCTTGCACAAGAAGATGCCCTCAATTTCATCCGAGACTTCTACTCCACGGTCAAAACTTTCCCTCTCCAAGGCTTAACCAAAAACCAACTTCGCATGAGATGTTTCCCCTATACCTTGAAAGATCGGGCCAAGACTTGGTTCATGACTTTGCTTCCAAACTCACTCAACACGTGGGAAGCCGTCTACGAGAAGTTCATGGGCAAGTATTATTCGCATCAAAAGACAACCGATCTCCGAGCACAAATGGCTAGCTTTAGCCGAAACCCGGGCGAGACTTTTCACGAAGCATGGGAGCGTTTCAAGGGCTATCAACTCCAATGCCCACATCATCACTTTTGCTTGGGCGTGTTGAATCAATTCTTCTATGATGGGCTCTACCAAACTCTGTAATACATGGTGGACCATGCGGCCGGGGGAGATATCGGGAGTCACACGGCCGAAGAGATCTATGAGTTGTATGAAATGTTGAGCGAGAACTCCCAACAGAAAAGTGTAAGCAAGAGGACTCTCGTGAATGAGGCTACACAATCGTCCGGGTCGACTAATGATGCCGTGTTGGCTAAGTTAGCCTCATTGGAGGAGGAGCTCAAACACCTTCGTCTACGCGATGCAAAGTTGACTCAAGTAGTTATGGCGGAGGTGTGTGGTTGTTGTGGAGAGATGGGGGACGGAGGCCATGAGTGTCCACGTTATATGGAGCCGGTTTATGACCCGAATGTTGTGACGGTCCCTTTTGATGTTAATGCCGTGCAAGGGTATGCCCCCCGAGCTCAAAATGATCCATACTCGAACACCTATAATGCCGGGTGGAGGAATCACCCTAACTTCTCTTGGAGGGACCCGAAAACAAACTATCCACCTCAACCGGCACCACCTCAAGCTTATGCACCACCTCAAGCCTACGCACCTCCTCAAAACCGACCATATCAACCGAGACCCGAGTTTCAAGGCTACCAACCGAGGCTCGAATTCCAAGGATTCCAACAACCCCGAGGAGGATTTGTTCCAAGGCAACCAATGCCACCTCAACCGGAGCCCGAAAATGAGACTAAGGCGAATCCCTCGGACGCTCGAATCGAAAATATGGAGAAGTACCTTCAAAGCCTTGCATCGACCGTGTCCACTCTTCATGATGCGGTCAAGGGCGTACCTTTCATCCAAGCTTCTCTCAAATGTCTCGAGACTCAAGTGGGGTAACTCGGGACTTCCCTCGGTGAGATACAAAGGAGTAAGATGAAAGACAAGCTCCCGAGCCAACCCGAGCACGTCAATGCTATCTCGGTGTTGAGGAGTGGTAGGCAAGTTGATAATCGTGTGGAGATGCCTAAGGAGAATGAGGTGGAGGAAACTCTTGTCGAGGAGGATGATGAACCGATTGAGGAGGTTGAGGTCTCGAAGGTAAACGTCAATCTCCCACTCTTAGACGTTATCAAGAATGTTCCGGCATATGTGCAATTTTTCAAGGACTTAGCTTCGAAAAAGCGGAGGTTTGAGGACAATGAAAAAGTCATGATTTCCGAGGTAGCTTCTACCACTATACCTCAGAAGGAATGCGATCCGGGAGCTTTTGTGATGAGGATAGCCTTCGGGAATGGTAAGGCGACGACCGGGATGCTTGATTTGGGAGCCGGTATCAATCTCATGCCCTACTCAATTTACAAACAATTGGGATTGCAAGGGCTAAAACCGACAAGGATGAGCCTACAACTAGCGGATCGAACATTGAGGGAACCGAAGGGCATTATTGAAGATGTGTTGGTCAAAGTTGGGTCCATTGTCGTTCCGGTGGATTTTGTGGTCCTTGACGTTGGGGATGTCCCGAATACCGGGAAGGAGCACACGATTTTGCTTGGGCGACCTTTCATGGCGACGACCAACACGATTATTGACGTCAAGGATGGACGAGTCACCCTTTCGGCTCATGGAGAGACGGTCACCTTCACGATGAACAATGCTCGAGAGTCTCCACCCAAAGTTGGCCAATGCTCATTTATGGACGACATGGATAACGAGGTACATCCCGACTCTCTCTCTCATTATGTGAATTGCGATGGTATGGGTGAGAAGAAGAAGGTAGTTGAGTCGGGTTTGAATGAGAATATTGAAGTTGGAGTGAAATTTGAGGATGTGAAGAAGAGTGATGTTGAAAATGGTGGTGGATCGAAATCGGGTAAGAAAGGGTCGAAAAAGAAGCCCAAGGGTCATAAGGTGAGTTTTGAAGAGGATAATGATTTGAGGAAACTTCTGGTGCCCCCAAAAAGTAATTGGGCAAATGTTTTCTTTGACGAGCATGATGAGGATGGAGGAGCTCGTCAAACCTTGCCCGGTTGACTATGAATTGACGGGAAAGTCGAGCTCACGACTTTAAACCGAGCGCTTCGTGGGAGGCAACCCACGTTTTTGCTTTCTTTCTTTCTTTTTCTTTTTCTTGCATTTTTTTTTCTCTTCTTTTTCCTATTTTTTGC